CGGCCTCATGCGAACTCGCCGTCAATCCACCATCACCATCACCACCACCACCAAGGATTGGCATTGACCCCAGTCGCCTCGAGTCTGCCTGCATATTTACGCCCTCACTCTCTTCTTCTCCCATACTACCGCCCATTCACTTTCGCCCCATGTCTTCTGCTTCCGGCGTCAATGTACGATCATCCATCCCCTTTCCCTACTACACTTGTGGTTTTGATCTTCTCGACTGACACCCATTGCTCCTATAGGTACTTCGGTACTCGGCTCTAGCCTTTGGCATCTTCTACGGATTTACTCATCAACGCGCGATCACCTCGGCACAAAAGCAGGCTGCTGCCCAAAAAGAATATGAACACAAACAACAGTTGATACAGCAGGCCAAGGCCGAGTATTCCAGGGCCAAGAACCCGGCACCCGCCTCCCAGAGTGGTGGTATGCTACGGATCCGTCCTTCCTAATATCGTCGGCCAGGTATACTGATAGTTTCGACATTTAGCCAGCCAAGACCTCGCGGATCCCAAGTTCGACCTCGAAGCGTACATGAACGACCTGATGACCCAAAAGGCATGAAGCATCTGGGGAGGGGGGGTTTGATATGGGCAGGGCAGGGCTTGGGTTAGAAGTGGCATGGATGTAATGGTCACCCTGAGCCAGTCTCGCCAGAGTCTTGGTATCAGGATCTGTCCCTGCCATCGAGGTGCGCATCTGGTGTGGTTGCCGGGATGGCAGGATAGCAGGCTTGGTGTACGACTGCGACGCTTCAAGATGAAGCACATAGAGATTTCCTTTCTCTTGACCAAAAAAGAGCCCCCCTATGTAACTGTATACAATAAAGGCCAACAATTACTGCCTACTTTTATCTAGGTTTTCTGCTGGGTTTCATATGCGGCCATCGACTTGAGGATTTGTGTACCTATGTCTATAAGAGAGAAAAGCACATACCTAGGCATATAATTCATCACAAGTGTCCTAACCAACATTGAAGTAGTGAAATGGAGAGAATTAATCACCCAGGCTGCCAGGTATTTTCACATTATGTAGACTAGGCCTGCATACCCAGCTTCAAAGTGTAGAGGCAGTATCTGTGAATGTCGTGTGATAATATTTACCATATCAGCAAGCATATAACATACCTAGGTAGGCACTTATGTAGATAAGTACGTACGTGTATATGGACTTATAAAAGCTCAATGAAGCTCAAGCTGTTGCCAAGAACAAAGAACATGCAACACATCATTGGTGTTAAGCTCCGTAGCTGAATATGGCTTCAGCCGACTAACATAGTCTATTCATGTGCTCCAAATCCACTCATGTGCTCTGTATCCATGTATATATTGCTACAATGGTAAGAAAGTAGACAGAATAACAGCACCAGTAAGCCCCAGAGTGGTTCACATCTCTAACCTAAACATGTCTATTCTATCTTGGACGTCCTGTATATATGCGAGTCTGGGTAGATACAATTTCATAGAGACCCCTTCGTTTAGTGAAAAACCCCGGCTCTCTGCTTATATCTAATCATGAAATGTAATTATACAGCTTCTAGGCACTATATCAAGTATGTACTTATACAATACACTCATAGCACCTACCCTAGGTAGGTATGTCCCTGTATATCTGCATACCTGCATATTCAGGTACGTACCTACTTATTCGGGTATCTTGCTTGACGTTCGACTCGGAAAAGCTCCAGCTGTCCTCTCATTCAAGTCCACCACCAATTCCATTCTCGAAATGTGCCTATAGCTGGTTGTTTGTTTCATGGATCCGTCGGCTCAATCCTTCCCACGAAACGAGATCATAGATGTGATAGCCATCAACTATCATTCCTTTCTTCCACAGGAGCACATCTAAGCCCATCATGGCTGTCGCCGCCGACGCCAGTGCCTCCCCAACCCGCATCCTGGTCTCTCTTGGCAAGAAGCAGAGCACCAAGACCCTCTTGCGAACCATTATCCTCTGCTTCATTGCTGCTGCTGCCATTGCCAGCCGTCTTTTCTCTGTCATTCGTGAGCATCCAGAAACCAGCCCCAGCTCGTCTACTACCTGAAAAAAGAAAAAGAAGAAAAAAGTAAAAGAGAAAGAGAAAAGAAACTAACCATCGCTCCCTGACAGGTTTCGAAAGTATTATCCATGAATGTCAGTAGCTAAACATCCGCAAACGAACTCCTGACTTTCCCCTACCTTATATCTAACCGACCTATCTGCCTCCAGTTGATCCATGGTTCAATTTCCGTGCCACCAAATACCTCGTAGCCAACGGCTTCTACGATTTCTGGGATTGGTTCGATGACCGAACATGGCATCCTCTCGGCCGCGTCACGGGAGGAACGCTCTACCCGGGCCTCATGGTCACCAGCGGCGTCATTTACCATCTCCTCCGAGCCCTGACCGTCCCTGTTGATATCCGGAATATCTGCGTGCTCCTGGCTCCCGCCTTCTCCGGCCTGACTGCCTTCGCCGCCTACCTCCTGACCAACGAGATGACCACCTCCCCTTCTGCTGGTCTCCTCGCTGCTGCCTTCATGGGCATCACCCCGGGCTATATCTCGAGATCTGTAGCTGGTTCTTATGATAACGAGGCTATCGCCATCTTTCTTCTTGTCTTCACCTTCTACCTTTGGATCAAGGCCTTGAAACTGGGCTCCGTCCTGTGGGGGGCTCTTTGCGCCCTCTTCTACGGCTATATGGTCGCCTCATGGGGTGGATACGCCTTCATCACCTGTCTAGTGCCTCTCCATGCCTTCGTGTTGATTTGTATGGGCCGATTCAGTATGCGCCTTTACGTCTCCTACACGACTTGGTATGCTCTGGGGACGTTGGCCAGTATGCAGATTCCCTTTGTTGGTTTCTTGCCCGTGCGTACTAGCGAGCACATGCCGGCCCTAGGTAAGCTCCCACCATAGGCGCAGATTGCGATATTCACAAAAACGCGAACTGACGGGTCATAGGAATATTCGGGTTCCTCCAACTCGTAGCTTTCCTCGAGTATGTCCGCTCTGCCGTCCCCAGTCGACAGTTCCAGACCTTCTTGTACGTAGGACTGGGTGGCATCTTCGGTGCCTCTCTCCTCGCCCTCGTGGGTCTTACGGCTGGAGGGTACATAGCACCTTGGTCTGGTCGATTCTACTCCCTCTGGGACACCGGCTATGCTAAGATCCACATTCCTATCATCGCGTCGGTGTCCGAACATCAGCCTACCGCCTGGCCGGCTTTCTTCTTCGACCTGAACATGCTGATTTGGTTATTCCCCGCCGGCGTCTACTTGTGCTTCCAAAGACTAGAGGACGAGCACGTTTTCATCATTGTCTACGCCCTCTTCGGAAGTTACTTTGCCGGCGTCATGGTGCGGCTCATGCTCACCTTGACCCCTGTTGTGTGTGTCGCCGCGGCTATTGCCTGCTCACAACTCCTCGACACCTATCTCATGGCCGATTCACCCCAGCCAGCCGCTCAGGACGGTGACGACTCGCAGGAGGCTAGTACCAAGAAGACATCGAAGCAAAGCAGTCTTCGCTCGGCTTCCCAGCCCCTGGTCGGAGTTTACCACCTTCTGTCCAAGGGCTTCGTGGCTGGGTGCATGACAGTGTACTTGCTGATCTTTGTCCAGCACTGCACGTGGGTTACCTCGAATGCCTACTCATCTCCATCTGTCGTCCTTGCGAGCCGAATGCCGGACGGTAGTCAACATATCATCGATGACTACCGCGAGGCTTACCAGTGGCTGCGACAGAATACCAAGGAAGACGCCAAGATCATGTCCTGGTGGGATTACGGCTATCAGATCGGTGGTATGGCCGATCGTCCTACTTTGGTTGACAATAACACGTGGAACAACACACACATCGCGACGGTAGGCAAGGCGATGAGTTCACGCGAGGAAGTCAGTTACCCGATCATGCGCCAGCATGAGGTCGACTACGTGCTTGTCGTCTTTGGTGGGCTGCTCGGATACTCGGGCGATGATATCAATAAGTTTCTCTGGATGGTTAGGATCGCCGAAGGCATCTGGCCAGACGAGGTCAAGGAGCGTGACTTCTTCACGGCCCGTGGTGAATACAGGGTCGATGGAGAGGCGTCGGAAACCATGAAGAACAGCTTGATGTGAGTTCCCACGTAAACCGTGCTGCGATTTGAATGCGGGTGGCGGTGGCGTTGGCGTTTCTGCGTGGCTAACCAGAGTGGCATTGTATAGGTACAAGATGTCTTATTACAACTACGGATCTTTGTTCCCGCCGGGCCAAGCCCAGGATCGAGTTCGTGGTGCGAAGCTGCCTGATCAGGGGCCCGTCCTCAACACACTGGAGGAGGCTTATACCAGCGAGAACTGGATCATCAGGATTTACAAAGTCAAAGATCTTGACAACGTTGGAAGAGATCACGCCTCGGCAGCTTCGTTTGAGAAGGGTCATAAGAAGAAGAAGGCCAGCAAAAAGCGTGGTCCTAGGGTCCTGCGGGTTGACTAAAAAGGGGCGGCGTTGTTCGGCATGTTGAAAAAGAGGAAACCCAATAGAATTGTGGGGGTTTTCGTGTCATAAAATTTACTGGGCGATTCTGAAAGAAAGAGAATGCGCCACGACATGTTTGTAAGAGATGTAAATGCAAGAGACATAACTACTAAACCAACAACTTCGATTGATTGATATTTCTGTGCTCTGCCTACGTGCTGGACATCTTGTATCAGCTGGAAAGGTTTGTACTGTTGCAGATCCCAACTAACCAACCCTCCAAACCATCTGGGCATCCTAATAGCCATATCTACTACCTACTACACATTAAACTTACTCTATGCACTCTTTCACCTTTAAAGCAGCGAGGGGGGGGAGTGAGGGGGAAAAAAGGCCGGTTGTGCATCAAAAAGTATGGGCTTCCTACAGCTACGTGCAACTGAAAAATTAAATTCACGGCAGCAGACATTAGGAAAGGGGGGAAAGGAAGGAAAGAAAACAAGGCAATATATATATGATATACCGCTTGATGAAGCAAAAAGAAAAAACATATGCCCACTACTGGAGTCGAACCAGTTGCCTCCTCATCACTTCAGGTAAATTGATTTTAATCAAATCAATTTTTCACCTTACTAGTGAGGCGCTCTACCGGTGAGCCAAGCGGGCTTGCTTGCTGCGTGTGTTCTCGGGAATCTTCCGAGTAAGCGATGAAATTTTTTTTGCTATGAGGGGTCTTATTTATCAATTCAAATCACACATACATATAGAGAGCAAAATCGGACTGCACTCTCGACTCCACCAAGTCACCACCCCTTCAACCTTACCTACTAGATATGTACAGGCATGCGCAAGCAAGGTCGTTTCCATATACGTGTGCGTCTACGTGTGCGATGATGTTCGCCTTCAGTCTTGCTGTTATATGGGGGCATACATCAATCAAATGAGACACGCTGGCGAGCTTCTCACATGTAGACTAGATATGGTCGGTTCGTATGGGCCTGATATGAAATTGCCGTACATGCCCACTACACACACTACTTCCATCACCCAGTACTATCCGCGGCCCCTTACTTTCTTCCATCCTGCCTGCCCTTGGTGATCATGGAGAGAGATAAAGGCATGATTACCAAGCGGAAAAGGGTTACTGATACATTTCCAGATGGGACGAGGATAGCTTGTTACTCGACGGCTAGGCGCAATGGCAAAGCAGACCTCACAGAAATACTGCCTTTTCTCGAAATACAGCTTGATTTCCTCCTATGCTGCATAACATGCAAGGTCTGCAAGTGAATAAGCTACATGATACAGTATCTTTTGGTCTTGCAAAGGTGAATAGGACATCATCCTGTACATGAAAGTTGTCCTTGTACCTCATGTACTACGACTGTCGCTTCCGTAAGTTATCATCTTGTCCTCGCCCAACGCCGAGTTAAATTGCAATTTGACAGTCACACTCATTCGCTTGTCCACCTGTTGCCTTCAGCCTTGATTGTGTGTCTGCATGTCCGTTACAGGAGGTGCCACATCGTCAGACCCCTCCTGACGGCAGTCACATTCATACTCGTGTCTGAACTCCTCTACACTCATCTGTTTCAGTTTTTCAATCAGCTTCGTTGCCGCTGCTATCTTGGCATAGCGTCCGCTCGCGGCCGTCGCGAATTCAACAACCTTGCCATGCACTATGGCCGCGCAGATCACCTTCGTGTCGGATATAGACCTCTCTTCATCGTTCACCTCGTCTATCATGAGACGCCAGGCCGAACAACCATATGACATTTGGAGCCTGTTCGTCAAGTATGTGACAGGATGTTTGTTAGCGTATGTGTCGTACAGGTGCATATCTTCGAAGTAGGGGCGAACATGTACATCGAAGAAGTGCTGCACCTTGCCGTAGTCGAAGTCGTTGTCGACAAAAAGAGCACCGATGAACGCTTCAACAATGTCGGGCAGACACTTGGGTGGCTTTTTCTCCTTCATCCAGAAGTTCCGGGCGTAAGCAGCGCGCCCCAGCTGGGCCGACTCAGCTTCCTGTTCAGCCCGTCGACGCGCCTCAGTTATGGCAAGAACATATTCCGCCACTTCCTTATGTAGACTGGCCGTTATTGACAGCATATGTGTATGTAGATTAAGAGAAACACAGAGGCAGCCCAGGAACTGATTCGACACCATAGCCATCTTGTGCTCTGTCAGCCACTGGGGATCTGCCTTCGGAAATCGGTGGAACAAGAAGTCGACGCACACCACATCGAGGAGCGCATCCCCAAGAAACTCGAGCCGTTGATAGTTGGGAATGCGCTCGTACATGGTTCCATATGAGGGATGCATAAAGGCGCTTCGCAGGAGGCGGGGGTGTCTAAACTTGTACCCAAGCCTTTCTTCGATCTGTCTAGCCAGGTCGCGCTGGACGGCAGTGGGTGCCGCACTTTGCCATTCTGGGATTTGGTAAGCCGCGAAATAATCACCATATGTCGTGAAGGGGTGGTCCTTGTGGTTAACGAATTTGGTCACCGCTTGAATGGCCAAGTCGAAATTTCTCTGGGGATACGTTGTCATGTACGCTGCACCGATCAGCGCTTCACACACATCCGCAATAGACTTGTCGGCAAGCACGTGAGTCCCTCGACCAGCGCCCTTCTTTCCGATAATGCTGGTGTTCTGCTTTCCACGTAGAAGCTCAAGTCCCTCTGGATACCATAATCTTCGGTTGAAGCCTTTGGACCGAACATATTCCTCCAGTTTCAAGTCGAGAGCAGTGTTGAACAGGTTTTTGTTGCATATCAGGACCATTCTGTCGACATGATACTGGAACTCGTCGCCATCTTGCACCTGTGCAAACAGTGCGATTGTGGTGCTCATCTTGAGAAACGAATCCCCCAAGAATTCCAGGCGTTCGTAATTGTTACCCATGCCTCTTTGGACGTTGATCTGCTCCTCCGTGTGCTCCTCCGTATTGTCGCTATCCTTGGTCATAGCCTCCAAGGCCAAGTCGGGACGGATTTCCAAACCTAATTCCCTGCACGCGTCAAGCGCAATCAGATTAGACTCCAGGCGGTATATGATGGCAGGTATGTTGTAAGCCATAGCAACAACACTGAGGGGCAGCTATGATATGTCAGTCAGACTCAGGGTCAACTGTTATGGAGAGTCCTTACAGGGGAAATTTCCAGTGTGGCAAAGGTCAAGTAGCACTTCAGTTGCGCCTTATCGACCTTTTCAAACTCATCCAGGAGATTCCGGCGAAGAGGAATGTACTCGGCCTCGACAACAGGCAGATCATTGCGCACTGGCAGCTTCGCCCGCGATTTAGACCATAGGCTAACACTAAAATTCCAAATATCCTTCGGGCCATCTCGAGCTTTTCTACTATGCTGGCCAAGAGGAACACCCGGTACCTGTGGATCGGTAGGTTTGAGATCCTTGCGTCGATGGGTGATGTAGAATTTGCGGGAGCCATCGTGAGGATCCGTCACGAACTTGTCTACAAAGAACTCATCAGCTTGGTTCTCCCAGTCAAGTTTGCTGGGGCTCAAGTTCAGCCAAGAGAGGCAATCCCAATCGATGACCGTGCGAGTATCCGAAATTGCTTGTCCGTAATCGAAAGAATGCTCATACACGATGGGCGCAAGAAAATATGGCATCGCCTCATAATCGGGCTTGTATTCCTTGCTGAAGATGTCTTTGAATATGCGGAGTGTAAAGCGGTTCAGGGTCTCGATGTCATCTAGATTGACTTCGATCGCTCGTTTCAGGGGTACGCACACGAGTTCCGAGGTACGATGGTTTCCGAAATACAGCGGAAACTTAGGTAAATGTGGCAATGCCTCTCGAGTGAGGATAGCCAGTGGTTTCGAGTAACGCCCAAGAGCTTCTGGACTTGACAGCTTGAAGATGGTGACGAAGAGCAAGTCAGGTGTTCCACGCGTAGACCATATTTGAGGCTTGATCCGCATGGGGTACTCGGATCTCTTCTTCGAGCTGAGGGCCAAGCACGCGTTACGCATGGCTGGAAGGACCTTCTTGAACGTCGATTGGAGGTAATCATCGAGGTAGCCGCTCTTCCATAGCTTGTCGCACAATGCGAAAGCCGCAGAGCATTTCGCAACTTGCTTCGATGTTTTTCGCTTCCCCATTGCACTTATGACCGGTGAGCTCTCGGGAAGAGTGACCTCGCATTGATATTCCTGGCCAATTTTTCTTATCATGTACTCCACATTGTACTCGACGCCCGCTGGATGTGGAAGAGAAGACACGAAGTTCGCAAGAACCACCAAGCTCATTCTGTATGTCAGCTTGGCCCCGGTTCCAGGGATGTATCGCACCTCTTGGTTTCGTTCTTTTGATAGGAAATAATCCATATCGTAGTCATTGCCCTTGAGTAACCGATCCTCAGGCAATGCCGAGCAGAACATGCGCAGTCGTTGCTCGCTGTCTTCATTCTCGAAGATGGACTGGGAATGAGCACAGTTGCCAGCCTCCACCATATGGAAGAACTTGGAGTTCAGGTGACGAGCACGGCCTCTGGACTGAATGTATTGGATCATCGTCTTGCAAAGGTCAAAGCGGATGACGATGTTGCAATCTGGAATGTCAATCCCTTCCTCCCCCACACTGGTAGCAAAAACACAGTTCATATCACCGTGACGAAAATGATGCATGGTCAAGATCTGTTCCCTGATCGTGTTGCTAACATCACCTGTATCCTGGCTTGATGCGCCTATCTGTATCAATGTTAGTATTCGGGGCCGGTGGAGGGCAAATGGAAACTTACAAGTACGCCAGGTTTGATGTCGGGCATAACCGCAGGATCCTTAAAGAGGTCCGCTAAGAGGATCGCCGTCAATCTCTGTTCGACGAAGATGATACACTTGTCGGTGGCTGGATTGAAGTCTGCGCGAAGTCTGCCAATGAGCGCCAGGACCTTGCTAGACATGAGATAGGGGGTGACCTTAGGCTTCTCGACTGGATGAGCTTGTATAATTTGATAGGCCTCGCGGACGAGCGCCCGTTCAGAATCGACAGCATATATCGGCTGAAGTGCGTTTTCTTTTCGCATCATATTGCGCTCAGTCCGGGCTTCCATCTTCTCCGCCTCCGTCCGCGTCAGGGAGATTTGCCATACTCGATCTGCGCACCAGCGACCCAAATCGGCCGTACAGTCTCTCGAATAGTTGAAGTATTTGGTGAAGACTGCATTATGACCGACCACTTTCCAGAGCTTCTGCCAAAGCACAGTCTCGTAAGGGGTGGGGAGTACGCCATATGGGATTGAATGTTCCTCTGGCCGAGTGATTGAAGACTTAGTGAAGACGGTTGGATCTGCCACGGTCGCTATGGTACTGTGAAGAAGCCCTTCCAGTCTCGCAGCAGCAGCGTCAACATCTGTCTTCGCATCAACAGGAGACGCCGTCATGCCGAAGATGCGGGGGCGTCGCTTGCCCTCACTACCTTTGACGGCATAAAACTCCTTGATGATCCTTGCATATGGATGATTGGACTTCGTATGATGGGCCTCGTCAATGACCAATAAGTTGATCTGCTCCATCTTGACGAAGGCATGGTGCAGACACATATGAAGGATCTCAGCGGTACATACTATTACCTTGTAGTTTTCACACTGCTCTTTCTAGAAGCTATGTGAGAAAACAAGATTGCGGTTGGAGCCGTAA